AGAGATCATGGAACTTTGTGAAAGACAAGACTCATTAAGTGTGGGATGCAGCATCTCTTGTAACTCTCAGATTGCATACCAATTAAAATTTCATTGAGTATTTGAAACACTCCAATGCCTATTAAATTGTCATAGATCTTTGTTGAATAAGGCAGATTAAGGTCTAATTGGAACATCTCTCCCCTATGCCAGCATGCTTCAGATTCTCTTAGTTGGTTAAGTTAAATACAATTGTGCCTAAAATTTGGTTTTATATATTCTGGGACATGGCAAATGCCATGGGGAACAGCAAATCAGGCTGCATGAATAAATCCCATGTTCACTTTATTTACTCTTGTAGTAACTTTAAATGGCAGAGCTCATGCGAGCTTCTGTGGTAAAATTTATGAATTCTACTTTCAACTGGAACATCTACATCTTCTTTCCAAGGGAGAAAGATGCACAAGATCCTCTTGGTACATTTTTCTGAACGAAGTGAAAGCAAGAGCCACACATGCCTCCATGTTTTGCTGTTTTTCAAAATATATAAACTTCTCTGTGGGCACTTTATAAATCCAACCAGCGAACAGTGGCAGTGCAATTTTATGAGACTTGCAGCACTGGAATGTTTTGGCTACACAGAAGCAAATTATTTTATTTTACTAACATTTCTGTGTCTGGTCTTCACCTGCCACACATAGATGATCCCTGCACTGCTAAATGTTTTCGTTCAGATAAGCTATTAACAAGCGTAGAGGCAAATTTTAAAAAGTTATGGCTTTTGGATGACAACATCTAGAATCCCTATGCAAACACAGGCAATTGTCATATTAATTGGAGAGGATTCTGGAATTCATAGTAAAAAAATATTGCTTTTCAAAGTTCTGGACTACTTAACGTGATAGTTTCTGAAAGATACAGCTTCATGAGGTGCTCTGTCACCTCAGCACCACAGAATTATAACAGCCTGAAAATGTTATAAATGTTGTGGCTTGAAACTGTGCTCTTACCAATGTGATTTTTTTCTAGGATAAAAGTCAAGCCCCACCTCTGAGAGATCTAAAATTCCCAGGATACTTTGTGGTGGCTGTTAAGAAAACTATAATGTTGTTTCCTACTGGTGTTGCCCACATGTGTTGAATTACAAATCTCTTACCGTATTACCGTGCCCACATTGTGGATGGGGATGATGAGAGTTGGTCTAACATATTTGGAGTGTGCCCTGTTAAAGAAGGCTGGATGGGCAGTTGCTGGACAAGAAAAAAATCGGCGTTATCAGAACATTCATATATATTTTTAACAGTACTCTCTGATTGGAAATATGAGATGAAATGCTTACTCTGCAAAAAAACAACAACAGTTAAAAGTCTCTTTCCAAAGCTCCTAAATGAACATGGAAACGAAGGTTTATTGCTATCTAAACGCTGTTCGAAATTGAAAGGAAGTGTTCCCTATATGGATTTGATTAGTTATTCCAGTTCTTTACAAACTACAGCACTGTGTTCCTGGTGATCACTGACTTCGCTTCAGCATGGCTAGTAATGAGAACTTGCTACATTCCTTCTCTCAGTTCACTTTTGAAAGGCTTGTGAGAATGTGACGAGGATGCTCTGAATCGGCATGGTTGTCTATATGTGAAATGAACCAGATCAATCAGAAGCACAACCCCTTTGCCACAAAATGCAGTGGTGATCCTAACCACAACAAACATAATGTATATTGTGGCAGAGCAATGGGGTAAAACAAATGCTCCTTATTCTAGACCTGGCTCCTGTAATATTTTTGGATTTGAGGAATAAAATGTGTAACAGTGAAATCCAGAAATCCATGACATCTGTGGAACAACGTTTACCTTTTTGCAACCAATGCTAAATGGTCCTGAGCCAAGGACAGGCATTTGGGTAACAGAGGAAGCATCATTGTTTCCAAGGGCTAAAAGGCAACCATCTATTTTTTTTTTATTGCAGAGCTTAAGGCCCACCAATGCTCAGCTTTTGCTCACCCTTCCTTGGCCCCATGATGCCTGTACTGCATCCTGGCGTCCACATGATGCAAGGCTACAATTAGCAACAGCAAAGCAAAGGTTCTTCTATTTACACCATCCTCAGATGGCGGTGTTTTTTGTTCAGCTCTGCTCTGACTTGTTCCAGTGCAGGATCCTAGTACGACATTGATGCATGCTGATCCCTTTGTTTTGTGTGTATCATTGACAACATTTCCATATGGGCATTTTTCTACTGTCTAGTGTTTCCCCGCCACCACCGCATGGCCTAGGAGGTGGGGCTTTCCCTCCTTAAATGAGGGTGTGCCAGGAAATCCTCAAATTCTCTGACTCTATCTCTGACCCTAATATGGTAAATAGGAAAGCCAATTAGCATTGCATACACCTGGGAGGCAGGAAAGTTTTAAGGGTCGGATCATACTTCCGCACTATTAGAGAGCAGGCCAGGTAGGTGGGGCTTGTCAGCCATGGAAGGCAGCCCATCTAGGAGAAGGAAAACTCCAATTTCAAACCTCCACTGCCTTGTGGCTATATCAACTGATGGAAAAAGCTTCAGGAGTTAACTTCGAGGCAAAATCCGGAGCTGGAGTCCAGAAGGCAGTTCGTGTCGTTTTGGCAACTCCTGTGACGTCGCTGGAACCAGTTGTACTGGCTCTTGCCTTTCCATTGGACCATTTCAGCAATGTGGAGAGGGGGGATTTGCTGCTTGGGTAACATCCTATCCGCCATACTACTTTACCCAGGCTTCATGCTCTGGAGAGGACACTTCTCGATACAGAGCATGTTACCATAGTCTCTCGAGACTGAAGGATGCCTATGAGTTTTCATTCCTCCTTTCCTTACTGCCTGTTTGGTTTTCTCAGGATATCACCTTTTCCAGTGTTCTGCCTTTTATTTTATTTTTTAAATGGTGCAACTTTTACACCATAGTGGAAACTAAAAATAAAATAAAAATAAGCAAAAATGTATAGGCTTGAAAATGATGGTCAGCTACAAACAAGGAGTGAAGGGAAGGTAGAGTAATGTAGGTAAGGAGGGGACAGAGATGATGTCAACTCTTCCTGCATTCTGCTTTTCTATTTTTCAGTGTTGTCACTTTTGCAGCCCCATGAGGACCTGGGGCAATACATGCCCCTTCTTCTTAGAGAAATGAATGTGACTTTTATGACACAGTGAAGCCATCTTTAACTGAGCAATGATAGGATGGTGCTTTTAGAGCAGGGAGCTTTCCATTCCAGATCAGCGCTTTGGGTGCAACCAGAGAAGGTTCTTGTTAAGCAATAACCTTTCTTCAAAGAATGCCAGATTATCATCTCCCTACTCCTCCTGTTTAGCCAATGATTCCTTTCTTAAAACTGACCTCAAAATGTGTTGTTGTTTTTGTTAATGGAGGAAAAGACAGGGTGGGACGACACAGGCATTTGTCCGGCTGTTTGGTGCACCCTGGGGGCAGGTTGGTTCACTCCTTTTGCTGCCCATCAGATGATATAATTGCTAGAGCAAACCAGCCTGCCCCCAGAGCATTCATACCCACACCTTTCTGGGTCCCTGTGAGTGGCTACTCTTTTTTACATGCAGGTAGGATTGCTCTGTTTTTGTTTGTTTCAAGCACACATTGTACTATCATTGGGATCAATCAGTGTCTTCTGACTGGTAAGGCTAGGAGCTTTCTCCTGAAGCACAGCTGTATCTTTTGGCAGAGGTTCATTGAGGACAGGAAAAAGAGTTCCCACTGAGTCTGGTTTCAAACTAATGACGGGAGAGGTGTGTGTGTACATATGTGTTACATGTAAAATATCTGGGCAGTTTTTCTACCTATATAGGTATAGCAACTATAGCTAGTTAAAGTTTGGGGCATTCATCATAAATCTAGTAGTAAACAAGTGATGTTGGCTAAGTAGATTCTCAGTCACTTGTGGCTGTTAGCCCACAAGACTTTTAGCCCACAAAATATGCGATGTGGTTATAATTAGCCACATTCTGGATTCCAGCCATATTCTTCTGACCCTCCTAAAAAGTAATCAATAAAACCTGTACACAAATAGCAGCTGTTCTATATAGGAACCCCCCCAAGGAGTCAGTGTGTATACTGGAGGCTTTGTCTTCTGGCAGGTCGTCAGGGTGTGTGCGCTTCCTTCCATAGAATTCCCAGATTAGCAGGGGCCGTGGGCTGACAGGGCTGTTCCTGTAGCGCTCTCATGGCCTCAATCAGAATTTCCAGTGGTCTCAGCTGCTAGATGAAAATTATTAAAATAATTGAAAAGATGGACCTGATAGACAGGGGAGATACTGTTGGTCTCCTCCTCGTGGTTGCTGAAGTCCTTCCCTGCATATTCCGATACCAAATATTTGTTGGGCTTTCTAATATTTATACACTTCTTCTCATATGTTACAGTATGGAAAGTTCTGTACACCTTAAAAAACTGTTCAGTGATGGGTTTTTTGTTTGTTTTCAGATCTTATCTCATGTCTCAAAATTCATTGTCAATTTTTATGGTTGTTTTTTTACAGTCAAATTTCTCTCTTAATTCTAGAAATAAAACATACCGGACAACAACAAAAAATATCTTAATAGCAAGTGTCTGATAGGTTAGCTTGCATATCATCAGTGTAAAGGAATCTCAAACTCTGTATCAGCCACAACAGATATTTTTTCTTACTCAGACTTCCTTAATTGAGAAGGAAAAGAAAAGAGAAAGGCAAGAACATATTTCAAGCACATGGAGGTAGGTTTTCCTCTCTGTTCAGTGGGAGCAGTCCCTTAAAAAAATGGGAGCCTGCACTAGATCTACATTTTGGCCTTGGTCTGTCAAGGGGTAGCATTACACCATCCCAAACATGGAACAAGATATACCCCTGAGAACAATGCAACTTTAAACCTTGTTTGCTTTGTAATATGTGAAGTTTAAAACACTCACCCCCACACAAAATGACACAAAAGACAGGCATTCACTCAATTTCACTCAAAACTCAGTTTAATGAACAGAAAAAAAGAAACAGAAACAGAAAAAGAGGCAGCTGTTTTAGGGAGCATAAACCAGAATAACGTGTCAGCCTCAAATATACCTCTGTTGGCTTTACCGGGCTATTCCTTGGACAACAATAAATAGGTTTTGTGGTAACAGGTTTTGTGGGTGTTAAAGAACCCACAAAAACAAGAAAAGAATTCAAAACCAGTACTGGCAGATTACAGGTACGAATTCTCAGTAGATCCTCTTCCTGTTAGCAGAGTGGGGACAATAACAGATTTCAGGCTGAGTTCAGCAGCACCTTCTTAGTACACATTCTAACAATGGTGGAAAGAAAGAAAGATTGTTACAAAGGGCACACCAGTTGCCACAAAGTTTTCTTCCTTCCTCCCCCCTATTTTTTTTCTGTTCCATTTGTGTTCTGCCTTCTACCCTAGGGCTTACATACTCTTAGCTGGGTCTAATTGATAGCAATTTGTCAAAGGATGGACTTCCTTGAACAGCCTTCTGGTAGGCCTCTTCATAGATAGTTGAGTGCTGCAGAATTGGGGGTGAACCAGCAGAGGAAATGTTCTAGTCAATGCTGGGCGGGCTGAGCCCCTCTTCAGTTTGCCCCAGCGTGCCACAATGTGCTTGACACAGCCCTGCCCTGTGATATCATGGGAAATTAAAATGACAACTCTTTAACCTAGTCCCCTAGCGCTGATCACAGTGTGGCAGGGGAAGAATGCAAAGAGGAGCCAAAGAATGCTTAGTTGGAAATTTGTGTCAAATGGTGCCATACTGGAAAACCAGGGCTAACCAGAGAGCTTTGCAACACACAATGCTTTAAACCTGTGTGTGCAAATCGTCTTGCCACATTCACCATGAGTCTTGCAACAACAACATCAATCTAGACAAATGTATTTTGTGTTACCTAGTTCTTGAAAAAAGAACAACCTTTGTACTCAAATAAATCTGTTAATATTAAAGGTGCTACCAGACTATGTTTTGTTTGTGCTCTGTGTTTTTTGTACTAAGAATCCTACAGCAAAGACTAGGCTGTCATTTGGCTCAGTAGATATTCTCTGTCTCAAAAAGTAGCTTCTGGATAAGATGGAATGTTTGCAATTCCCTTTTCCAGCCAGCTTATCATAATAGTACAAAGAATAGGGAAGTGAGGAAGGGAAATCAATAAGCCAGAGTCAACTCTAATTGGGAGGACTAGCAATGGTTCAGTCTGGAATCTCAGATTCCTGCAATCCAGAAATGTGATGTGCTCCAGTCTACACTTACTTTCACAACTGGAAGTCCAAATCAATAGATTCATAGACAAAGAAAAAGTTATCTGCTTTTCAGAGCTTGGAAAAGGTTTTGTTTGTTTGTTTTGGGGACTGTAACTCCCAGAATCCCCAGTCAGCAGAGTAACTTTTCCAAATCCCGCAGCTTTCCTTCCAGAGCTGTACTGTAACTGTGGGAAAATGCCCACTTACCCCCCTTAGATCCCTCCAAGGGACCCACGTAAGGTATACCTGCTTCCACAATACCTTATGATGCTCCAAGCTTCCAGGATCATTTGATCCAAAATCTCTATGAGCTATCTCACAATCATCAACCATTTCTCTGGCCTCATTTTCACGAAACCTTAATTGGAAAGAAGAGAAACAGGAGAAGACATTATATTAGAAGCATACCTAAGCGCTGCTTTCCCTATGTGCATTTTTGCTATTTGGATTTAAAACAGTTATGTAACTTTGCTCAGATCATCATGGACAAGTCAGTGTCAGAGACTGGATTAAGCATTTGAAATTCCTTGTCTAAAACAAAATGGCAAAGAAAGAATGTTAACAAAAAGTTAGTCTCAAGTCCCTGGGCTTCTGCCTATAATGATTTAAAGTGTACAGTATATGCATTGTTCAGATGGATCTACTGGACATCTCCCTATGGGGCAATACCCACAGCATTGTTCTCATAATTTGGTAGAGTGCCTTAACAGCTGGCACTTGGGCCTCCCAGTTAAAGATTAAAACAGAAAACTGTCAAGAGTTCAAAGGAATCTTCTGCTCATCACATCTGTTGCTAAAGTAAAGCCATGCTTAATTCTAAAAGATAACAGGAATCCTATAAGTATAAGGTTTTTTAATATTCCCCAAAGGGGAAATGCATAGTAGTGGGAAAGTATAGCATCACCTGTAGACCTAAACAATTTTTTTACTAGATGTGACAATAAGGTACACAATAAAACAAGACAAATTACATGCACAGTAAAATCTATAGTCTGAAAAAGCCATACACCTTAAATAATCATATCGTCAAATTACTAGTAGTAAGGTATAATCACCTTCTTCATTTTTCCTATTGATAACAAAAGGCCCCAGATCCTCTTACCTAGCTATGGTGGCATAGTCCAAATGGTGCTACTTTTGGAGGTGAATTGCCCCTAGAAATCACTGTAGATGTTACATTGCCATGATCAGTTGCACGCTGATTTGGAAGAGGCAGTGTGCAATTGATAATGGCTACAGTGATTTCTTAACTTGGGGCAATTTGCTGCCAAAAAGTAAGCCATTTGCACACCGGTGCAAGAGGACTTTTGGGCCATGTAGCATAAAAAGTATACTTGATGCCTGCTCAATGGCCCAAGAAAGAGTTTCTCCAAAGTCTTTCACTGTTTTATTTTCGATAGGAGAAGAGGCCAACGTTTACAACTTTTTATTTGTCCACCAGCCGTTCCATGGGCATCTGTGATACTCTAAATTCCAATGAAGTATCTTACCTGCACTCTTGTTTTACCACAAGCATAGCCAGATTATGACAGCCATGTCAGAAACGGCAGAGGCAGTGTCTGTTTTGAGTATCAAGGATGTTCTGTACTCTGGCCTAGTTCTCCTCACCCTGTCTATGGCGTATTCATTACTGAACTGTATGTTGCACACTTGCATGTAGGCACAAAGTGCTGGATATAAAATGTATGTGTAGTACTAGGCACGTTCACTCTTACTGGAGACACACTTTTAAACAGAAAAAAATTATTTTAAATTAGACAGTGCCACCTACTGATGATATATAGTATCACCACAAGTTACTCCCTAATACTGTGTACTCCAAATTCATGCAGAAGTGTTTTCAGTCTGGGAACATAGCCCCTGAAAACTCTTTTTGCTACAGATCTAGCAATCCATCATTGCTCTGTTTTAGAAGCACATATTCCCAGTGCCTGGACTAAGATCAGCCACAATGGGATTTCTCCTTGTAATGCAAGTGACAGCTTGAGAGAAATTCCCTTCCTCTTCTGGATTTTAAGGGGAAGATTTAAATTGCTGTGGGTGGTGAGGAGGGATTGATCATCCCACAAGCACCTCTTCCCTTCCCTGGCAGTAAGAATACAAGGACAGCAAATTAAACAGCATACCATTTCATGACACACAAAATCTGCAGCCTGGGGCAATCACCTTAATTCTATTTAATAGTAAGGTCATCCCGAAGAAGAGATTACATAATTAGTAAATTAAAAGGGAAATAAAAGGGGGAAAATGACCAAGACTGCAAATTAAAAGGAAAATACAGTAAAAGAAAAAAATAAGCAAGACTGTTCAATGAGGACTCCTCAGTTTTCTCCAGCAGCCATAGAATGTCAAGGATGTCTGTTGGAGGTGAGGAATGGAAACAGGGAAACAGTTATCAGATTATTTGCTTTTTATTATTTATTATTTCCCTGCAGTAGATGGAGAATTTGGGAAGTAGTAGGCATCCTGAAGTCTCAAGAGACACTATGGTAACGTGCTCTGAATAGAGGTCTTGGAACCACGTGTAGTGTGGCTGAGAAGGCCTATTCGACAATGACAATCCCTCTATTCGAGAATGACAATCCCACACTGAAGACAAATACAGTCTGTCACCTGTCCAGCTCCCTGATTTTATTGCTTTCAGGACTGCCTCTTTGCCTCAGCCTGCTGGCGTGCTCTGAATAGAGGTCTTGGAACCACATGTAGTGTGGCTGAGAAGGCCTATTCGAGAATGACAATCCCTCTATTCGAGAATGACAATCCCACACTGAAGACAAATACAGTCTGTCACCTGTCCAGCTCCCTGATTTTATTGCTTTCAGGACTGCCTCTTTGCCTCAGCCTGCTGGACAAGGGTCTCTTCAAATTGGGAGAGGCCGTGATGCACCGCCTGCCTCCAGGCTGAACGCTCAGATGTCAAGGTTTCCCATCTGTTGAGGTCCATTCCTAAGGCCTTCAGATCCCACTTGCAGATATACTTGTATCGCAACTGTGGTCTCCCTCTGGGGAGATTTCCCTGTACTAATTCTCCATACAGGAGATGTTTTGAAATCTGACTATCAGCCATTCTCACGACATGCCCAAGTCAATGTAGATGTCGCTGTTTCAGTAATGTATACATGCTAAAAATTCCAGCTTGTTCTACAACTACTCTATTTGGAACTTTGTCCTGCCAGTTGATGCCAAAAATGCATCAGTGACAACTCATATGGAATGTTTCAACTTTCTCTCCTGCCGCGCACAAAGGGTCCAGGACTCACTGCAGTACAGGAG